TGGACTGGTTTTGGGATGCGGTGGGGGGAGGGGAGATTTTGAAACTTGTGAAATCCACATTGATACCATTGGGCTGCAGGGTTCCCAAGCGGAATATGAGTTGCTGTTCCTGCAACCTTCGGGTGGCATCGTTGTGGCACTGCAGGAGGCCCAGGATGGACATGTCGTCTGAGGAGTGGGAGGGGGAGTTGAAATGGTTCGTGACTGGGAGGTGCAGTTGTTTATTGCGAACCGAGCGGAGGTGTTCTGCAAAGCGTTCCTCAAGCCTCCGCTTGGTTTCCCCGATGTAGAGGAGGCCACAACAGGTACAGCGGATGCAGTATACCACATTAGCAGATGTGCAGGTGAACATCTGCTTGATGTGGAAAGTCTTCTTGGGGCCTGGGATAGGGGTGAGGTAGGAGGTGTGGGGGCAGGTGTAGCACTTCCTGCGGTTGCAGGGAAAAGTGCCAGGTGTGGTGGGGCTGGAGGGGAGTGTGGAGCGGACAAGGGAGTCATGGAGAGAGTGGTCCCTCTGGAAAGCAGATAAGGGTCAGGAGGAAAAAATGTCTTTGGGGTTGGATTGCAGATGGCGGAAGTGTCGGAGGATGATGCGTTGGATCCGGAGGTTGGTGGGGTGGTACGTGAGGACGAGGGGGATTCTTTTTTGGTTGTTAATGCGGGGACGGGGTGTGAAGGATGAGTTGCGGGAAATGTGGGAGACACGGTTGAGGGCGTTCACGACCACTGAGTGGGGGAAGTTGCGGTCCTTGAAAAACGACGACATCTGAGATGTACAGGAGTGGAATGCCTCATCCTGGGAGCAGATGCAGCAGAGGCGAAGGAATTGGGAATAGGGGATGGCATTTTTGCAGGAAGGTGTATTCTAGGTAGCTGTGGGAGTCGGTGGGCTTGAAATGGATATCGGTTTCAAGGTGGTTGCCCGAGATGGAGACAGAGAGGTCCAGGAAGGAGAGAGAGGTATTAGAGATGGTCCAGGTGAACTTAAGGTTGGGGTGGAGGGTGTTGGTGAAGTGGATGAACTGTTCGAGCTCCTCATGGGAGCCCGAGGCGGCGCCAATACAGTCATCAATGTAACGGAGGAAGAGGTGGTGTTTAGGGCCAGTGTAGGTACGGAAGAGGGATTGTTCCACGTAACCTACAAAGAGGCTAGAAGCGGGCGGTGTGGGGTTGGGGAACGATGAGGTTGGAGGCCGTGGGTGGGAGGTCACCTGAGGTGATGAGGTTGTGGATGGTTTGGGAGATGATGGTTTGGTGCTCAGGGGTGGGGTCATGATCAAGGGGGCGGTAGGAGGAGGTGTCGGAGAGTTGGCGTCTGGCCTCGGCGATGTAGAGGTCAGTGCGCCATACTACAACTGCGCCTACCTTGTCCGCAGGTTTTATGGTGAGGTTGGGATTGGAGCAGAGGGAGCGGAGGGCTGCACGTTCTGCGGGGGACAGGTTGGAGTGGTGAGAGGGGTGGAGAGGTTGAGGCAATTGATGTCTCGACGGCAGTTGGAGATGAAGAGGTCAAGGGAGGGTAGGAGGTACCGCATCCCAAAACCAGCCCAGCTCGTCCCCACCTCCCTAACCTGTTCTTCCTCTCACCTCAGGCCGCACCCCCATCTCCTACCTACTAACCTCATCCCGCCCCCTTGACCTGTCTGTCCTCCCTGGACTGACCTATCCCTTCCCTAACTCCCCACCTACACTCACCTTTACTGGCTCCATCCCCGCCTCTTTGACCTGTCTGTTTCCTCTCCACCTATCTTCTCCTCTATCCATCTTCTATCCGCCTCCCCCTCTCTCCCTATTTATTTCAGAACCCCCTTCCCCTCCCCCATTTCTGATGAAGGGTCTCGGCCTGAAACGTCAGCCTTTCTGCTCCTCTAATGCTGCTTGGCCTGCTGTGTTCATCCAGCTCTGCACCTTGTTGTCTCGGATTCTCCAGCATCTGCAGTTCCTACTATCTCTTGCCTAGGTTGGGATTGTTTTTGCTGGAGTTCAGATGAATGATGGGGGATTTCATAGAGACTTATAAAATTCTAACAGGACTGGACAGGGTAGATGTAAGGAGGAAGTTCCCGATGGTGGCTGTGTCCAGAACCAGGGGTCACAGTACGAGGATTCGGGAAGAACATTTAGGACAGAGATGAGAGAACTTTTCTTCACCCAAAGAGTGCTGAGCCTGTGGAATTCATTACCACAGGAAGTAGTTGATGCCAAAACATTGAATGTATTCAAGAGGCAACTAGATATAGCAGAGACAACAAGGTGCAGGGCTGGATGAACACAACAGGCCAAGCAGCATCATAGGAGTGTTCATCCAGCCCTGCACCTTGTTGTCTCAGATTCTCCAGCATCTGCAGTTCCTACTATCTCTAACTAGATATAGCACTTGGGCAAATGGGATCAAAGGTTATAGGGTGAAAACAAGATTAGGCTTTTGAGTTGGACGATCAGCCGTGATCATGAAGAATGGTGGAGCAGGCTCGAAGGGCTGAATGGCCTCCTCCTGCTCCTATCTTCTTTGTTTCTATGTTTCCCAGTTCCAAATGCCCTGTCTCACCATACTCCCAGTACACTTGTCCTCAGTATGTTCAATTTTCTCAATGGCAAGAAAACGGATTCCTCATCACTCAATACAATGATCCTTGCCTCCCATATTTTTCCAATGAACAATAAAAGTGTGTGATAATATGAAAAAACAACAATTTTATTTAATGCATTTTCTCCTGGCCTGCTTGATGCAATCCTGTCAATTAATCGTTCGCTGCTGGTGACACAGTTCTGGAGAGGAGGGAACTCGAGGGTCACACTATTTGCTATTTGATACTGTTTTCCCCTCAGCATTGTGCCTTCACCTTTGATCTACTGCCAGGAATTTCCTAGGGATTATCCTATCAATTATCATATCAATGGCCAATTTTCCAACAATGTTCACCAATCCCCAGTCTCTGTACTTATTAAAGAGGCGACTGCAGTGACACAAAGGAAAAGACATCATTTGCAACTGAAAGTGTGTATTGTGCAACCATCAGCATGACACCAAGTGCAGTGTGAAATATTTTTATTAGAACAATCAGTAAAACAATGCCTGGAATAAAGAGTTTCCACAAGAAACCATCTTAGAACTTCCGGTGCATATCTATAAACCCATTGATAACTTTTACCAGGCGTCTGCTCCTGAAGACATGGCAAAAATAAACTAACAGCATCGGATCATGTATGTTGTTATACTGTTCTAACAAATTCAGGCAATTTCATGATGGTCAAAGGGTCAATTTTCTATGTGCATCAAGGCAAAGAACACACTTTGTTGGGAAGTCATGATGATATTTCTCATTGTACCTCACTGCTTTTGCTATGTGCCTGATGTAGATTAAACACTGCACTGTGTTTTAGAGTACACAATAATACATTAACTTGTTTGTACCAGACAGCCCAACACTAATGAGAATTCAATTTATCGGTGCTGCCTATAAGGGATAGGAGTAAACATTGAAACTAGAAGCAGGTGTAGTCCATTTTGACCCTTCCAGCCTGCTCCACCATTCAATATGATTATGGCTGATCCTCTATCTCAATATCATATTCCCACTTAAATATCGAGTAAATAGGAGGCTAGGATTTGGTTTTCTTCAGTGATTGGTTGTTGCAAACAATGTCGAGTCTGATGTCCCCATTTCCTGTCAGGAAATATTCTAATTAATTGATGGAGATTGCACGGGAGATAGAACATTTAACAGTGAATAGGAAACAGGAGATCTATAGTAAAATGGGGAAAAAATCAGAGATGATGACACACAAGCACTGGCAAATGGTAGGGCAAACAGGGACAGCTACACAAATACCAAAAGATTTGGGCCATGTACAATGACAGAGTTCAGTACAGTCTCGAAGACTCCAGCTGAGCCTAACGCAACTGTGAATATACAATTGAAGAGTAACTGACAATGTAACATGTTCTGATCATTATATTGTGGCATTTGGACTCAGATAAAATAGCTTTCTCTGATCCATAAACTCCCATAATAAAAGTCACAATTCAAACAAATCCCTTGAGCTGAAGATTCAGGGTCCCTGAATATTTTCTCAAAATCCATTGGCTGAAATGAAAAGTGTGACCTTTGACACATGCTTGGCCTGGAAAGTGCGGTCACGGTATTCAGACATGTCCACATCCACTTCTACAGTGCAAGGGCCTTTCAAAGGCTGAACAAGTATGAGCTCACCAGTTTGTCTATCAGATCGCTGGACTACAAACTGCCCTTGGTTGTTCTTTCCTACGATGCCGAAACGCAGATTGTCGGGCCCAGGCCTTCCAGGAGCAGCTGCTGTAGCCATACGGAATAGGGTGACTGGAGTTTTCAGTTTTGAGGGTAATGACAGATAATGGAAGGAGATGGTCTTTGCCACATGATGGCAGGATTTGCTATTCATAGGGCACGGGTGACGTTCACACTGACTAGAAACAAGAAAAGCAAAAGCAGCAACATTTTTTAAGAAAAATGGAATTACAGAAACAAACCACTTTGCTTTGCTGATCTACACCAATGTTTATGGTGAACATCAGCCTTCTCCTATGATGCTGCTTGGCCTGCTGTGTTCATCCAGCTCTGCACCTTGTTGTCTCTAGCCTTCTCCTGTCCTACTTTGTCTCACCTTATTAGCATAATTCCCTATTTCTTTCTCCTCATGTGTGTCTATCTAGCTTCCATTTAAATGTATTTATGGTATGATTACTGACGAAAATATTATTCTTGTCTTACTTTTTAAAATAAGGCTGTGAGAATCCTGAATCTTTAATTACACATATTTCTCTCCTGGGTTTGCCAACTTCTGCTACCATGAGGGCAGTGTTTTTTTTTTACTTTCATTCATGTGGATGTCACTGTCTGGGCAACCATTTATTGCCTATCCCTAATTACGCAAAGGGCACTTGACAGTCAACCACATTGCTGAGGGTCTAGAATCACAGGGTAAAGACAGAAGTTTCCTTCCCTAAAGGACATGTGTGAACCAGATGAGGATTTCCAACAATCAAAAATAGGTTAATGGCCCTTGTTAGGTTCTTAATTCATTAAATCTGCCACGATGAGATTTGAACCCTGGTTCTCTAGATTAATAGGTCTAGCAACAATCACTTTCCCCAATACAGACTGATGAATTGAAGCCTGATGATTTGAACAGAAATGAAGGTTAGGACAAACTGTTAAATTGGATGGGTAAAATTTGTCAAAAAGATGAGTTGTTGACTGCTGAAGAGGTGTGGTCAATTTTTTACAAATTTAGAACCATTCTCTTTCTGAGTACATAATGGAATTCAAATCATTATGGAAGACTGCAGAAAGTTCATTTGGATAGTCCCCACTTTGTGCTGGCATTTAAGTACTGGACAGTGCCAAAGACAAATTAAGCAAGTGGCCTTAAGCTTGGCAGATGGAATATAATGTGAGCAAAGTGTGAGGTTTGCACTTTAGCAGGAGGAATAGAGAAGCTAAATATTATCTAAATGGAGAAAGACTGCAGAAAGCTACAGCACCAAGAGATTTGGGAAACATCATGCATAAAATCATAAAAAGTTAGTATACCTGTTCAGTGGGTAATGGGGGGGAAGGCAAATGTAATCTTGGTCTTTGTTTCAAAGGGATTCAAGTATAATAATAGGGAGGTCAGGATAAAACTATATAAAGCACTAGTCAGACCTTAGCTGGAATATTGTGAGCAATTTTTTGTCTCCTTACCTAAAGGAAGACATGCTGCCGTTGGAGGGAGTCCAGAGAAGGTTCACTAGGCTTATAATTGGGATGGAGAGACTGTCTATGAGGAGAGGTTGAGTAGGTTGGATTTGTACTCATTGGAGTTTTGAAGAATGAGAGGCAACCTTACTGAAACACACAAGATTGTTAGATGCCTTGACAAGGGCAGGCATAGAAAGGATATTTCCCTCATGGGAAAGTCTGGGATCAGACAGCATAGTCTCAGAATAAGGGATCATCTATTTATGACAGAGGTGAGGAAGAATTTCTTTTCTCAGAGGGTAGCGAATCTGTGGAATTCTGAGTTAGTTCTGAGGGACAGTCATACTGGACTCAAAACATTAACTCTGTTTTTCTCTACACAGATGCTGCCAGACCTGCTGAGTTTTACCAGCATTCTGTGTTTGTGTTTCAGCTGGCAGTCTGTCTGATGTTGTACAGATCAGTTCTAATGGTCAATATGAGACCATTGATCCCAAAGGATAACTGTCAAAAGTGGGTACTAAAGTCAGCCTATCACCAACCCTATCACATAGGTGTATATGCACAGAAAATATGTCCCCTGATGGGACTTAAGGCTAAAATGAAGCTAGTGGCACAAACACAAAGTGGGGGGGCCAAGATATGAGTAGATTCACTGACAGCAGGGAAAAGCAATTTTGAAAATATTCTTGGTTTTTCAGCAACACATGCTTTGGAATGTAGGTCAATTGATATTAAAGCTGCAGTTTCTGCAGGGAGATCAGCTGAAGAGGGAAATGTTTCTTCCTCCTCTTAGAGGCACCAAACGCAATAGGGATGCACTGGAAGTTAAATACATGTGTATGTAGCCTAAGTGATGAGACTAGATTTTGTTACTCTTCAAAAATATTTTTTCTTTACAAATTCACTTGTGGGATGTGGGCACACTGGCTGGACCAGCATTTATTATCCATCCCTAGTTGCCCTTGAGAAGGTGGTGGTGAGCTGCCTTCCTGAACTACTGAAGTCCATGTGCTGTAGGTAGATCCACAATGTCAGTCAGGAGGCAATTCTAGGATTTTGACCCAGCGATAGTGAAGGAACGGCAATATATTTCAAAGTCAGAATGTGGGTGGTTTGGGGGAGATCTTACAGGTGGTGGTGTTCCCATGTATCTGCTACCCTTTTCCTTCGAGATGGAAGTGGTTATGGGTTTGGAAGGTGCTGTCTAAGGATCTTTGGCGAATTTCTGCAGTGCATCTTATAGATGGTATGCACTGCTCCTATGGAGTGTTGCTGGTGGAGGGAGTGCATGTTTGTTACTTCTCAGTAAAGTCTGTCATATCAAAATTGACTTGTCTTCAGTTAAAGGCAGATCCTGCCATGTTTTCCTGGCACCGTGAGGAGCAGCTTTCAGGCATCCTTCTTAAGATGCATCAAAATAATTTTTAGTAGGGCGGGAGCAGTGAATTTGAAAACATTTTCACAAATGGGCTTAAAGCAGCATTAAAAATTGGAAGTCTGGCTTCTGGGAATACATTTTAAGTACACTGGATTAGAAATTAGGCAGAATAGACTAAATGTCACTTTGTATCAGTCGTCTTATTTGGAAAATGTGAGCCCCATTGCTTTTAGTCAAAGTACAGTCTCACAAAAAACAGTGGCTCAGTGGTTAGCACTACTGCCTCACAGCACCAGGGACCTGGGTTCAATTTTATTTCTGGTGACTGTCTTTGTGGAGTTTGCACATTTGCCCTGTGTTTGTGTGGGTTTCCTTCAGGTGCTCTGGTCTCCTCCCACAGTCGAATGATGTGCAGTTTAGGTACATTAACTGCGCTTAAATCGTCAAAACAGGAGTATCAGACATCCTGCTCACTCTGAGAGCTGGCTCTGAGGAAGCTGGATCAATGTCAAGGACTCTCCACCTGTACATAAAGGGTGGCTTGGTGACAGGATACCAGCCTCTGTGGAGTTATTTCAAAAATATATACTATTTTGTTAAGTATCTAAATAGAGTTAAAGTTATGCCTATTCCTCTTTTTTTGTTTGTATTTTAACTGTGGTGTAAGAATAAAGTGTGTTTTGCTTAAATTGAATCGCATCTGGAATGCAGCAACTTACACTTGCCTTTAAATAAGATGAAAGTTAAGGTCTAGACTAATTCCTTGATATGTTTTGAGACGGTTCAGTCCAAACCAACTTGAATTGTCAGAGGTGAATAGTGGATGCACCTGGATCTTAAAACCACAATGTTCTGAAACTAAGACATGACTGAATACATGAATTCATGTGTGGTTTGACTTACAAGGGTGATGTTTTGACATAGCTGATATTCCCACGTGGCTCCGGGCACTGTGGGTTAACACACTGAAATCCTCCTCCTGTGTTGATACAAGTCTCTCCTGCTGTGCAGTTGTGTTGCAATGTTGCACACTCATCTACATCTGGAAGAAAACAGACCAGAAGTAAAACATGAGAACATGTTTTAAACAGCCTTTGAACTTTTAGAAACAGTGTAACCAAACTTAGTATTGCTGTAATAATTCTACTTAATGAACCTGTTCAACTAACACAATTTAATTTCATGAAATTCATTAATATCTCGCTCTTTTGCCCATGTTTCATCCTCTCTCTTCATGTGACGCATGTATGGATTTCCTACCTTGAGAGTCTTTGGCTATACTGGACATGGATTAGGCTACTTTTAGAATACTGCATGCAATTCTGCCCTCCCTGCTACAGGAAGTGAAATTTGAAAGGGTTCAGAAAAGATTTACAAGGATGTTGTTAGGGTTGGAGGTTTGAGCTATGGGGAGAGGCTGAATAGGCTGGGGCTATTTTCCCTTGAGTGTCGCTTGCTCAGGGGTGACCTTATAGAGGTTTATAAAATCATGAGGGGCATGGATAGGGTAAATAGACAAGGCTTTTCTTCCCAGGGTGGGGGAGTCCAAAACTAGAGGATATAGGTTTAAGGTGAGATGGGAAAGATTTATAAGAGACCTGAGGGCCAACTTTTTCACGCAGAGGGTGGTGCGTGTATGGAGTGAGCTGCCACAGGAAGTGGTGGAAGCTGGTACAATTACAACAGTTAAAAGGCATCTGGATGGGTATATGAATAGAAAGGGCTTAGAGGGACATGGGCCAAATTCTGGCAAATGGGACTAGATTTTTTTCAGGATATCTGGTTAGCATGGGCGAGCTGGACCGAAGAGTCTGTTTCCGTGCTGCACATCTCTATGACTCTATGGAGACCTCTTCCTGGCATTTGCCAATGTTTCTCTCTGAGTCAATTGGTAGGAAATGCCTAAGGGTATTTAACCCTGTCTCTCTTGGGAAGTATCTTAAACTCATTTGGCACTGTCGCCTTTTATGTGCATTTTTCATGTGGGCTCAATTCAAACCCCAAAACTCAGCATCACTGCCTAGTAGTGGGATCATGTTCATTTCACTTGGATTCTCATATATAATTAAAAATAAGGCACATGTTTGAACCTATATATTCTATTTCCCAGATAGACACGAACGTTTGTAAAGCCAGCTAATATTTGACACTTGTTACTCGTGGATCTCCACTCCTTCATCAGTGCTGAATCTCTCGATCCAACAGCACAGTTGAGATATTGTCACCACGTACATATTAGGAAGGAGACTCACCATCACCTTGTCAAAAACAAGTATACATGGTCAGCAATACACAATTGTTCAACAATGGGTTAATGTAGTGGAAGAATTAAAAATGACATCTTCAAACCAGACCATTAGGGTTATTCTTTAGGGTTAATTGGATGTGACAAACAGCAACTGAAATAAAGTGGAAAAGTATGTGGAAAACAGGCCTCATGCAAAAACAGCCCATTTTGACTGTGGGGTAACCACGTGGCACTAAATTGTCTGTGAGAAGTGTCCTGTTGGGCCATCACACGGAGCCACCTGGAGATCTTTTTTCTGTATGAAGGAATGTCTGGAAAAGTGCTCCAAGTACCACAAACCGATGACACAGTACGCAGCCTTAGATGCAGAATAGTACTAATATCAGGGACTTTGCCTGATTCGGTGGACGTCACCTCAGGCTGGGATTGGGTACTGTAAGAAGACAGTGAGACTTGTTGTCAACTTGACACGTGTTATTGGCTATTGGACTTCACTTTGGACCAGGATTGGTGAAAGGTGCCAGAAACTAACCGTTGTAAAGCAGGCTCCCCGACAGATAGAAAGGCATGAGATTTGTTGTTAATATACATACACTGCTTTATATAAATTTACAGCTATGTATATATTACTGCTTTATATATACACTTACTGCTTAATATACATTTACCGCTAAATATATATAAATTTACTGCTTAATATATTTACTAATATCTGCTTAATATATATATTACTGCTAATAACCATGTTAATTTGGATCACTTAACCCATAGAGTGTTTTGTTACATCCCAGCGAATCCACTATCGAACCTTAACAGTTAAAAGCTGGTGGGGGGATGCCGCTTACCAGCACAGCTCCTTCCATCATTGAGAAGTTTGTATGCAGGAGGACAGGTACAGCGGTAGGACCCAGGGATGTTAACGCAGTTGTACATGCAGAGTCTGGCAATCCCTTCCAGTTGGAAAACCTCGCACTCATTCACATCTGTGTGTGGAAAAATTGATGCATTTCCCTCAAACAACTGTCCACAGCACAACAGATACAGCCAGAGCACTCCTGTAGGACATGACTTACAAAGTAAATTGGCAACTGGGGGAAGAACTTCGACAAATACTCCTCAGTGTCCAGCCCTCAGGAAAATACCTCCTGCAGCACAGGTGGTTTCTAACCTGAGTGGTTATAGAATCACACAAGCATCGGCCAGCACGGTTAACACTGCTGCCTCACAACACCAGGTTTGATTACACCCTTGGGTGACTGTCTGTGTGGAGTTTGAACATTCTCCCTGTGTCTGTGTGAGTTTCTTTGGGTGCTCCAGTTTCCTCCCACAGTCCAAGGATGTGCAGGCTAGGTGGATTGGCCATGCTAAATTGCTCATAGTGTCCAGAGATGTGCAGGATAAGTGGACTAGCCAATGGGAAATGCAGGGCTACAGGAGTAGAGACAACAAGGTGCAGGGCTGGATGAACACAGCAGGCCAAGCAGCATCATAGGAGCAGAGAGGCTGACGTTTCGGGCCTAGACCCTTCATCAGAAAAGGGGGAGGGGAAGGGGGTTTTGAAATAAATAGGGAGAGAGTGGGAGGCGGATAGAAGAGGGATAGAGGAGAGGATAGGTGGAGAAGAAACAAACAGGTCGAAGAGGCGGGGATGGGGCCAGGAAAGGTGAGTGTAGGTAGGGAGTTAGGAAGGGGATAGGTCAGTCCAGGGAGGACGGACAGGTCAAGGGGGCGGGATGAGGTTGGTCGGTAGGAGATGGAGGTGCGGCTTGAGGTGGGAGGAGGGGATAGGTGGGAGGAAGAACAGGTTAGGGAGGCAGGGACGAGCTGGACTGGTTTTGGGATGCGGTGGGGGGAGGGGAGATTTTGAAACTTGTGAAATCCACATTGATACCATTGGGCTGCAGGGTTCCCAAGCGGAATATGAGTTGCTGTTCCTGCAACCTTCGGGTGGCATCGTTGTGGCACTGCAGGAGGCCCAGGATGGACATGTCGTCTGAGGAATGGGAGGGGGAGTTGAAATGGTTCGTGACTGGGAGGTGCAGTTGTTTGTTGCGAACCGAGCGTAGGTGTTCTGCAAAGCGGTCCCCGAGTCTCCGCTTGGTTGTAGGGTGGGTCTGGGGTGGGATGCTCTTCAGATGATTGATGTGGACTCGATGGGCCAAATGGCCTGCTTCTGCACTGTAGGAATTATATGATTCAAAGCGTGACACAGCACAGGAAGAGCCACTTAGCCCATTGCATCAAATCAGGTTCTTGAAAGAATTATTCTTTAATTCCTTTTCCCCGTTCTTTCTCCTTTTGTCATGCAAATTAGTCCCTTCAAGTATCTGGTCAATTATCTTGAAAGGTGTTACTGAATCTGCTTTCCACCAACAATCCAGGCAATGCATTTGAAAATACAACAGCTAATCTTTCAGATTTTTGGAAAGCTTTTGATGAAGTCCCTCGTGAGAGGTTATTGCGCAAAATCAAAGCACATGGAATTAGTGGGAATGTCCTGGAATGGATAGAGAATTGGTTAGCAGATAGGAAGCAGAAAGTAGGAGTGGATCATTTTCAATCCTGAAGGCAATGACTAGTGGAGTACTACAGTGATCAATGCTTGGGTCACAGCTATTCACAACATAAATCAAGGCTCTAGATGAGGGAATCGAATGTAATGTGTTCAAGTTTGCTGATAACCAGAAGCTAGGTGAGAATGTGTGTGGTGGGGGAAGAAGCTTCAAGGTGATTTAAACAGCTTGAGTGAGCAAGCAAATAGGTGGCAGATACAGTATGATGCAGATAAGTGAGAAGTTATCCACTTTGTTAGAGAAAAAATACGGAAAGTCAGTGCATTATTTAACTGGTGGCAGATTGGGAAATGTTGATGTTTGAGGGATCTCAGAGTCACTGAAAGCAAACATACCAGATCAGCAGATAACAAGGTGTAGAGCTGGATGAACACAGCAGGCCAAGCAGCATCAGAGGAGCAGGAAGACTGACGTTTCGGGCCTAGACCCTTCTTCGGAAATGGAGGAGGGGAAGGGGGTTCTGAAATAAATAGGAAGAGAGGGGGAGGCGGATAGAAGAGAAGTGGAGAGGAGACAGACAGGTCAAAGAGGCAGGAATGGAGCCAGTAAAGGTGAGTGTAGATGGGGAGTTAGGGAAGGGATAGGTCAGTCCAGGGAGGACGGACAGGTCAAGGGGACGGGATGAGGCTAGTAGGTAGGAGATGGGGGTTGTCTCCGCCTCCCTAACCTGTCCTTCCTCCCACCTATCTCCTCCTCCCACCTCAAGCCCCAACCCCATCTCCTACCAACTAACCTCATCCCGCCCCCTTGACCTGTCCATCCTCCCTTGACTGACCTATCTCCTCCCTAACTCCCCACCTACACTCACCTTTACTGGCTCCATCCCCGCCTCTTTGACCTGTCTGTCTCCTCTCCACCTATCTTCTCTTCTATCCGCCTCCCCCTCTCTCCCTATTTATTTCGGAACTCCCTTCCCCTCCCCCATTTCTGAAGAAGGGTCTAGGCCCAAAACGTCAGCCTTCCTGCTCCTCTGATACTGCTTGGCCTGCTGTGTTCATCCAGCTCTACACCTTCTTATCTCAGATTCTCCAGTTCCTACTATCTCTCATACCAGTAGTCAGGAAAGCAAATGGTATGTTGGTCTTAACTGCAATTTAGTACAGGGGTAAGGAAGTCTTACTTTTTTTTCTTTATTCGTTCACGGAATAAGGGTGTCGCTGGCTAGGCCAGCATGTATTGCCCATCCCTAATTGCCCCTAGGGCAGTTCAGAGTCAACCACATTGCTGTGGGTCTGGAGTCACATGTAGGCCAGACCAGGTAAGGATGGCAGTTTCCTTACCTGAAGGACATTAGTGAGCCAGATGGGTTTTTCCGACAATCAGCAATGGATTCACGGTCATCATTAGACTCTTAGTTCCAGCTATTTACGGAACTCAAATTCCACCATCTGCCGTGGTGGGATTCGAACGCAGGTCTCCAAAAAAATCATCTGGGTCTCTGGATTAACAGTCCAGTGATAATACCACTAGGCCATTGCCTTCCCTGGTACTGAACTGAAAACAAAAAATGCTGGAGATCACAGCGGGTCAGGCAGCATCCCTGGAGATAAAGCAAGCTAATGTTTTGAGTCTAGATAACTCTTTATTGGATCCTACTGCAGCTGTACAGGACGTTGGTAAGATCACATCCAGAAAATTACATGTAGGTTTGGTCTCCCAACTCTAAGAAAACTGATACTTTCCCTGCAGGGAATACGGTGAAGGTTCACCAGATTGATTCTTGGGATGGCAGGTTGCTGTAAGAGGGGAGATTGGCTCAACTGGGCCTGTACTCACTGGTGTTTAGAAGAATGAGAAGGAATCTCACTGAAATGTATAAAATTCTCTGAGGGCTAGACTGACAGGATGCAGGATTGATGTTTCTCCTGGCTAAGTGGGGGAGCTAGATCAGGGAATCACAGTTCTCATGTTTGCAGCAGGCCATTTTGGATGGAGATAAGGAGAAATAGTATCACTCAGGCGATGGTGAACCAGAGAATTCTCTTCCACAGTAGGCCATGGAGGCCAAGAAAGATATAGATTTATCGAGGCTAGATTTGTAATGGAGTTATGGAGAGAGAATGGGAGAATTGCACAAAGATGGAGGATCGACCATGATTATGCTGAATGGCAGAATGGACTTGAGGGGAAGAATGGCCTACTTCTGATCCTTTTTCTACGTGTCTGTGTTTCTAAAAAAAAATCTCATCTCTGCTTCTGTCCTTCTACCAATTAGCGTAAACATACTATATGGTAACCAGCTCTTCTGCTCTAGTTTCTTCCTATTCATTCTTCACAAATATAACGGTAAGTCTTCATGATGTAGCACATGTCTATTCAAATCCACCACAACCAGAAGGATGGTCACCACACTACTAGAAGAATGGTCACCACACTACCAGAATGATGTGGACACTTTGAAGAGAGCACAGAAAAGGTTTACCAGGATGTTGCCTGATATGGCGGATTTTAGCTATGAACAACGGTTAGATAGACTAGGCTTGTTTACACTGGAATGCAGGAGGCTGAGGGGGTGACCTGAAAGAAGTTTATAAGATTGTGAATGGCACTGATAGAGTAGAAAGTATGAAGCTTTTCCCCAGGGTGGAAGGGTCAAGCACTCGGGGACACAGGTTCAAGGTGCAGGGGGAAGTTTAAAAGAGATGCGCGAGGCACATTTTTCACACAAAGAGTGGCGAGTGCCTAGAACATGCTGCCAGAGGAGGTGGTAGAAGCAGACACAAGAAGCACCTGGACGAATACATGAATAGGAAGGCAACAGAGGGGATACCGATCCTGTAAGTGAAGACAGTTTTAGTGTGGAAGGACAAAATGTGTTCAAGCAGGCATGGAGGGCTGAAGGGCCTGCTCCTGTGCTGTATTGATCTTTGTTCTAAATTTCTCTTTCCCCTCTCTGCTCTAGAGACAACAGGCTTTTCTATTCTCAGCACGTAAATGGAATCCAGTGACACAGGTCCAAGTCCAGTTAGCCTCATGCTCTTGCTATGTTTTTCAAAAGGTTTAGCAGGAAATTGTTTTTTTTTTCAGGCTTCAGCCAATTTGGCTTTATATCAGAGTACAGAAAAGTACAGATGTGGTCTGAGGTGAACTGGTCTGGTGCACAAATTATTTTTAATTTACACAATTAGTAATGACTTTAACAGAGGTTACTAGTCGATTACATTTGAGCTCTGTTGTAAAGGACAAGGGACTAATATGGAGGGCCAGCATGATGTGCTCCTCAACTGCATTGTTCTGTTCCCTAGGATGGGTATTTTCTAATCAACCTTTTCAGAGATGCTACTACACATCTCTGGAGCAGGTACAGAACCTGCAACTTTATCCAGATTTAGGTGTATTGCACTGTGCAGTGAGACACATGACTCCTCATCATAATGGTATTTATGAGGGATCCATTACTTAAACACAAGTTTTAATGCATGTTAATGGTAAATCAACTAAGCTGGCCCTAAAACATGTCTGAGGTTCTGCCTCTGCTTGTTTTTACCCATAACCCCTCTCTACCTCCCACATGACCATCCTGCATTGTCTCACTTTCTGCCCATAGAAGAGTATGTTTGAATTCTGCCACATCCTTTGAACGATGTGACTCCTGAGTACAAGATCCGAAGGCTACATACCACCTCCTCCTCAAGGATAATTCAGGAGGGATAATAAATTCTTTCCCTCTCAGCTATGCTGAGGAACCAGGTTCATTCCGTTTTAAAAACTGCTCCTTTCATTTTGGGCTAATGAATGTGAAATAAAAACTAACATCATCTTTCAATAGCACTCCTGTTGATCTACACAGAAACCCTGCAGAGCAGTGCAGAGTGAAAACCAACCAGTAGCAAAGACTGGAAATGTTGCACAAATTAAGGGGGTGGTGAGATGTTGGCAAAAAAGGAAGAGGTTTCGAAAAGAGGGGGAGATGAAGATTCAGGAGTGGGGTTGGAGGACACCGTCTAATGGTTGACATGAGAGACACCAAGGTGGAATTGAAATAGGGGGAAACCAAGATTTGCCGAGCAAAGATGGTCCGTGTGATGTTAGGTCCTGGAGGAGGTTGGTAAGATGGTCCACAGCAAGACCACAGATCAATTAAAACGCAAGGTGAGGACATTAAAGTCACTTTACTGGAGTTAGGGTCAGCCAGCAGGGAGTGAAATGGAACTTGGAAGACGCAAACTATAGTTTTCTGAATAAGCTGTGATTGACCGATGGTGGAAATAGGGAGGACCCCATTGCAGAAGCTGAGTTTGGAGATGGGAGTGAACATTTTGCAAGGGAAGGGTAAAAAAAAAGCAGAGTTGGTGATAAATTGTAATGCAGCCATTAACTTACAACAGAAGTAATGTTCATTCAGATGTTTGAGAATGTTCCAGCAATTTATGCACTCTACATGCGACCACATATTATTCTGATAAGCACATGCACATACCTTGGCACACACTGTTCTCGCTGCTCCCACTCATATGGAAGCCAGCATCACAACTGCAGCGTTGGGTCCTCTCCACCTCTGCACAGCGGGGTTTCCGATTGAAGGACAGGTCACTCCATTCTACAGCAATGGGATGTGGGCCAGGGGGTAGGTGGGGGAAGGGGGTGGCACACAGGAACAGGAAGTGACATACCAGAAAAATCGCTTGCACTGCTCTGTTTTCAACAGGTCACAAGTAGCCTACAACTGCAATGAAACTCCTCGGGAGTTAAATCCCTGCTCTTGATAAATGTCAGCAAACATAAAATGGTTGGCGTAAGTACAAAGGCTTTAACTAAATTTAATGGTTCCACCACCCCATGCTTCTATTTATTCTGGATTCTGGTTTGATACTTGTTTTACTTGGAATGGTGTCACTCAATGGAGACCATGGGTTTACAGTTTCCCCATGTGACCTCATCATTCTTCAGTTCTGTGTTATTGAGCAGACATCCTGCCCTTTGCAGAACACATCTGTAATGTTCTTTGAAAAGGCAAACACAGGAATTCTTCCCATTAGTTTGGGCAGTGTTGGGCCCAGGGAAACCAAATGGGCAATAACCAGAAGGAGTTCAACTTTAAATCTTTGTGAGAGGATGTCAGCCACGTCTGACAGCATAGCACGCTCATCTTTTGCTTTACGATTTTCTGAATCCAAGTCCTACCCCCCGCACCAAATCTAACCTGACGTTTCAAAGCTGAAAATCACACAACACCAGGTTATAGTCCAACAGGTTTATTTGAAATCACAAGCTTTTGGAGTGCAGCCCCTTCATTAGGTGCCATGAGAGCATGCAGACACAGAGTTAATAGCAGAGAGATGAAGGGCAGAGAGATCAAAGGATCATAAAACTGGTGTGAGTGGAGTGAACAGACCTAAAATGGCTTGTGATTTCAAATAAACCCATTGGACTATAACCTGGTGTCGGGTGATTTTTGACTTTATCCACTCCAGTTCAACACCAGCACCTCCACATCGTTTCAAAGCTGTACAAAGGGAGTGCTGCATTGTTGAAGATCTTTGCATGGGACATTAACTGTAGCTCTGTCTGCTACCTCATGTCAATGTTAAAACCCCTACAACACTATTCCAAAGATGGCTAATAGTTATCCCTCTAACCGATATCACTAAAATAATGCTTCTTAACACATTGCTGTTTTGTAGGACTTTACTGCAATTTTACAAATTGGCTGTTTTTATTTCTAGACGACAACAGCTTTCAAAACTGGCTGTAATGTATTCTGGAACATTCCAATGTTGTGAAAGTGACTTTATAAATGCAAGTTTTTATTGTTCTCCCCTAAGGTCGGGCAGATTTCTAAAGTTAATTTTGTAAAACAAATGGATTCTATCATGCACTGATAAAACATATTGGTACAAGTTATTATTTCCTAGTGATTTAGATGCTGTCGATATATGTAACCGATAATTAAACAGTTAGGCATCACTGTAATATCCAAGGCTGAGTCTCAGCAACAAAACAGTGATGCTTAGGACAACTAAGTGAATTCTCCAATCGGTTCTTTTAAAAAGATAATATTTGGGCAACAACGTAACCACATTCTAATTTAACCCTGCAAAGTTGTTTGGAATCACACGGTATGAAATGCTCCAAAATCCTCTTGCTCACAATAATTGGTTAGTGATTTTTTTTTGTTTAAAAATGGCAGTGGCAGGAATTTCACAGAAAGGTGCCAACATTTTGTTTCCAAATCACAAAAAATTATCTCACTTTAATGGTCATAAATTACAGAAGAGTATACAAGGAAGAAATTAATGAAACCTCAGACAAACCACTGAGTAAGGAAGGAATATTCTTTCAAAGCAACCTAGCCCAGGTTTGGGGAGGCAATGGCCTTGTGGTATTATTGCTGGACTGTTAATCCACAGACCTAGGCCATGTTCTGAGGACCCAGGTTCAAATCCCATCAAAGAAGATGATGGGATTTGAATGTAATAAAAACAAAATCTGGGATTAAGAATCTAACGATTAAGAATTCATTATCAATTGTTGGAAAAACCCATCTAGTACACTAATATCATTTAGGGAAGGAAACAGCCATCCTTAACCTTGTCTGGCCTTGACTCCAGACCCACAGCAACATAGATAACTGCTCTCTGGGCAATTCGGTATGGGCAATAAATACTGGCCTAACCAGTGACATCCTCATCCTGTGAATTAATTTTAAAAAAAGTTCTGAGGATTTAGTCGCGGCAAAAGGTCAGAGATCAGAATTAGGCCTGTATCTCACCAGGACAAAGTTACCAACAGGAAAGCAAACATCTAAGACCCTGAGATGTAAGAGCAGAATTAGGCCATTCAGCCCATCGAGTCTGCTTGGCTATTCAATGACATCACGGTGTAATAGAAATCTCAGAGTGGTGTATTACTGAGAAGGCTATTCAGCTATTCAGTCTTCTCATCCTGCTCTGCAATATTTTGTTTATACATCTCAAAAGAGAAGGAAAGAAATATTATTCACAGTACAAGATGATGTTGCCTGCCATGGAATGTGCTTGCATCCCACACAATAATAACAGCACTTCAAAGAGAAGCTTCTGGAATGGATTCCACATGGCTTTTCAAAAAAATAAAAACCACAGCATATGCAAAATTACTTCATAACAGAGCAGAAAATGCTTTTCAATTCTTAGGTCAATTTTTAAAAAAAAACGTTTGGCTTTCTGAACGTCAATATGTTTGTTCCTCAGCTTTCGCCGGAAAGAGTTACTGTTCTCACCAACTCAAATCCAGACAATATTCTGCCTCTCCAGAGTTACAAACCTGTCTGTCCCAGATACTGACAGTGGCGCCCCATCCAGCTGTTTATGCAAGTACATGTATATTGATTCACAGCATCCACACAGAGCCCTCCGTTCTGACAGGGATTACTGGCGCATTCGTTAATTTCTACAAAGAGAAATTACAGGAGTTTGGAAAAAATGGGAAAGCCAAACACCTCAGTCCAGATAAAATGTTAAATCATTTCTTTGGGGTGTAGATCCCGGTGACATTTAAGAACTATAGAATCAATGAATCATACAGCAAAGAAGGGATCTATTTGGCCAAATGTGTCAAAAGAACATAGCAACTGATCCCTGTCCCTTCTCTAGTTCCTATAACGCTGCAAATTCTTCCCCTGCAAGTATTTTTCAATTCCCTTTTGAAAGTTATCCATGCAAAAAACTAACATCGGCCAAGCTAATATAATTCTTGAACCAGGAACAAAAACAGAAGTTGCTGGCAAAGCTCAGCAGGTCTGGCAGCATGTGTGAAGAAAAAAATCACAGTTAACGTTTCGGGTCCGGTGACCCTTTCTCAGAATTCTTGAACCACTTTGAAGGACTCGTTTCTGGGAGAGAAACTAAGTACAGTTACCACATTTAAAAGTTGTAGATAAGTATGTGACTAGGAAACGTTTAGAGGGATATGGGCCAAACACAGGCAAATGGGACTAGTTCAGTTTAGGAAACCTGGTAAGCATGGATGAGTTGGACTGAAGGGTCTGTTTCCGTGCTGTATGACTCTATGACTCCAGTCTGGTCTGCTCCGAGCTGCTGTAAAATCTTTCAGTCTCCGGATCTTCTAAAGTAAAAATAATCCTTGATTATTCTGAATGGAAAACAAGATTATGGCCTTCAATTTTTATCACCTGTCGTGAACCAGCACAGTATAAAAAACAATTTTCATTAGCGCACCATAGCGGTCTACAAACACTTGCTTTCTGAATAATGCTGGATTAGGCCCCTGTTCCAACAGGACTGTCTGACCTTGTTTTGTTGTAAATATAACCACAACACTGTGCTCAAATAAACACCTTGTCTATGAGACAGTTGACTGATCTGTACCAAACTGCAGTGTTTCCCCACCTCCCTTCTCCTCTAACCAAAGAAAAAAGGGGGAGAGAGACACCCTATTGAAAATTTGTTGGTAGGAGAGTAAGAAGTAAGGTGTTGGCTCGAGAGGCTTCGGTGAGCAGCAGCTCAGCAAAAAGTACAGGTAAACTCAGGTAAAAGTCCTTTTAACTTCCCTCTTTAGTCTTAGAGCATTTAAGATGGTAGTTAGGGCAGTGGCATGCTCCTCCTGCAGGATGTGGGAACTCGGGGAGGGTTCCATCATCCCAGATGTCTACACCTGTGGGAAGTGCACCCAGCTGCAGCTCCTGGGAGACCATGTTAGGGAGCGGGATGTGGATGCTCTCAGGATCATCCGAGATGCTGAGCACATCATAGATAAGAGTTTTAGTGAGATAGTCACACCTAAGGTGCAGGCAGAGAGTAGCTGGGTGACCACCAGGAAAGGCAAAGGGAGTAGGCAGACAGTGCAGGAATCTCCTGTGGCCATTTCCCTCGAAATCGACTATATCGTTTTGGATACTGTTGCGGGGGAATGACCGTTCAGGGGAAAGCAGCAGTAGCCAGGTCAGTGGCACTATGACTGGCTCTGGGACACAGTGGGAAAGGGTAAAGGTAAACAGGACCTTAGTGATAGGAGACTCAAATAGTTAGGGGGACAGACAGGCGGTTCTGTGGCCGCAGATGGGAATCCAGCATGGTGTGTTGCTTCCCAGGTGCCAGGGTCCAGGATGTCTCGGAACGGCTGCAGGACATTCTCAAGGAGGAGGGTGAGCAGCCAGAAGTCATTGCAGACGTTAGCACTAATGACGTAGGGAGAAATAAGGATGAGGTCCTGCGGGGTGATTATAGAGAGCTAGAAAAAAAGTTAAAAACCAAGACCTCAATGGCAGTAATCTCTGGATTACTTCCAGTGCCACATGCTAGTGAGGGTAAGAACAAGAGGATATGGCAGATCAATGTGTGGCTAAAGAACTGGTGCAAGGGGCAGGGATTCAGATTCCTGGATCATTGGGATCTTTTCTGGGGCAGAGGTGACCTGTTCAAGAGAGATGGGTGGCACCTGAATTGGAGGGGGATCAATATCCTGGCAGGCAAACTTGCTGATGCTACAAGGGAAGGTTTAAACTAGATTAGTAGGGGGTAGGATCCTCAACAGCAGGGAGGCAAGTGTGAGGCTGGAAGGAGATACAGTAATCAGAAATAGAAAGTTGAAGAGACAGGTCATTCTGGAACAGGGCAGCGAGCGAGGAATGCCTGTTGGATTAAATTGCATCTACTTCAATGTAAGAGGGCTGACAGGTAAGGCCGATGAACTCAGGGCATGGATGGTGACGTTATTGGGTTGTACTATAGACCCTGAAATAGTCAATGGGCATTAGAGGAACAAATATGCAGGGAGACTGGGGAGACTTGCAGGAGCAGTAGGGTTGGCATTGTGGGGGATTTTAATTTTCCTAACATAGACTGGGACTGCCATAGTGTTAAGGGCTTAGATGGGGTGGAATTTGTTAAATGTGTTCAGGAAATTTCCTCAAGCAGTATATAGAGGGTCCTACAAGTAGTATATAGAGGGTCCTACCTGGGAAGAGGCAAAACTCAACCCACTTTTAGGAAATAGCGCAGGACAGGTGGGAGCTCTTTCGGACCAGTGACCATAGTTCTATTAATTTTAAAATAATTATGCAGAGGGACAAAACTGGTCCACAGGTTCAAGTTCTAAATTGGGGCAAGGTGAATTTTGATGGAATTAGACAGGAGCTTGCAGGCTTTGATTGGAGTAGTTTGTTTGCAGCTAAACTAGTGGGAGGCCTTTAAAAGTGTGATAGCTGGAGTTCAAGGTCTGTATGTTCCCATGAGGATAAAGGGCAAGGTTGGCAGGAGTAGGGAGCCCTGGATGAGGAGATATTGAGGCTTTGACCAGAAAAAAGAAGGAGGCATTGCTCAGGAACAGGCAGCTGGGATCAAGAGAATCCCTGGAGGTGTATAGGGAATACAGGAGATTACTGAAGAAAGAAATCAGGAAGGTGAAAAAGGGGCACGAGATAGCTTTGGCTAAGAAGATTAGGGTGAATCCAAAGAGATTCTTTAAGTATATTAAAGGAGAAAGAATAACTAGAGAGAGAACAGGACCCCTCAAGGACCGAAGTGGACATGTATGTGTAGAACTGCAGGAGATGGGCAAGGTTCTCAATGAATATTTCTCCTCTGTCTTTACCGTGGATAAAGACATGAAGACTTGGGAAGTTGGGGAAGTTAGTGGTGATATCCATATCACAATAGAAGAGGTGTTAGAAGTATTAGAATGTAAGAAGGTGAGTAAATCTCCTGGAACTGATCGGATATATCCAAGACCCCTGCAGGAGGCTAGAAAGGAAATTGCGGGGGCCCTGCCTGATATTTGTATCATTGTTAGCCGTGGGTGAGGTCCTGGAAGACTGGAGGGTAGTGAATGTTGTGCCCTTATTCAAAAAGGGCTGCAAAGAGAAACCTGGGAATTATAGACCAGTAAGCTTAACATTTGTGGTAGATAAGTTACTTGAGAAGATTCTGAGGGACAAGATATACATGCAATTGGAAAGACAGGATTTGATTAGGAATAGTCAGCGTGGCTTTGTGTGTGGGAGATCATGCCTCACAAATTTGTTAGAGTTCTTTGGTGAAGTGACCAGGAAGGTTGATGAGGACAGTGTGGTAGACGTAGTCTATATAGATTTCAGTAAGGCCTTTATAAGGTTCCACATGGTAGGCTGCTCTGGAAGGGTAGATTGCATGGAATCCAGGGAAAGCTGGCAAATTGGACACAAAATTGGATTGATGGTAGGAAGCAGAGAGTAATAGTGGAAGGATGCTTGTTGGACTGGAGGCCTGTGACTAGTGGTGTGCCTCAGGGGTCCTTACTGAGCCCATTGCTGTTTATTATCTATATCAATGATTTGGATGAGAACGTACAAGGCATGGTTACTAAGTTTGCAGATGACACAAAAATAGGCGGTATCGCGGGCAGTGAGGAAGGTAATCAGAAACTGCAGCAGGATCTTGATCAGCTGGGGAGTGGGCCGAGAAATGGCAAACGGAGTTTAATATAGATAAAAGTGACATGTTGCATAGTGGAAGAGAGGGACCTTGAAGTTCAGGTGCACAGTTCCCCAAGAGTGGAGTCACAGGTAGACAGGGCAGAGAAGAAGGCTTTTGGCACACTGGCCTTCATCAGACAGGGCACTGAGTACAGAAGTTGGGACGTTATGTTGCCGTTGTACAGGACATTGGTGAGGCTGCACTTGGAGTATTGTGAGACAGCAAGAGTTGCAGATGCTGGAGTCAGAGACAACACAGTGTGGAGCTGGAGGAACACAGCAGGCCAGGCAGCATCAGAGGAGCAGGAAAGTTGACATTTCGGGTTGGGACCCTTCTTCTGTCTGGCCTACTGTGTTCCTCCAGTTCTACGCTGTGTTGTCTGTGACTTGGAGTACTGAGTTCAGTTTTGGTCACCTTGATATAGGAAGGATATTATTAAACTGGAAAGAGTGCAGTGGAGATTTACAAGGATGTTGCCAGGTCTCAAGGGACTGAGTTTAAAGGAGAGGTTGGACAAGCTAGGACTTTTTTCTTTAGAGTGTAGGAGACTGAGGGGGGATCTTATAGAAGTGTATAAGATCATGAGAGGCATGGATAGGGTGAATGCACTCAGTTTTTTACTTCAGGGTTGGGGAATCAAGGACTAGAGGGCATCAGTTTAAGGTAAAAGGGGAAAGAATTCATGGGGGCCTCAGGGGCAACGTTTTTACACAAATGGTGGTATGCATATGGAACGATCTGCCAGCAGAAGTAGTTGAGGCCAGTACATTAACAACATTTAAAAGGCATTTGGACGAATACATGGGCAGGAAAGGTTTAGAAAGGATATGGGCCAAGTACAGGGAAATGGGCTTGGCGTGGATGGACATTTTGGTCGGCATGGACCAGTTTGGGCCGAAGGGTCTGTCTCTGTGCTATAGGATTCTTTGACTCTATACCTCCACCTTGATTTTCCAAAATAAATATAGATTTAAATCA